AAAAACATGGATATCAGAAAAATTTTTAGATGGTACCTGTTTCTGAAAAAGGAACAGTTTAACAAACTGATGAATAAGATTCGAGTTATCCAGCTATAGAAACAGGAGGGAGCCAGATTATTCTTCCTACTTACTTGTGATATTATAAAGATGCAGTAAAAGCCAGGTATCGATTTGGGGTGGTTGAAGATTGTGGTAATCCAAATGCCTGTCAGCTAGGAATGATTAAACAAAATATGACATTTCATACACTGGACTACTATTCAACAATAAAAAAGAATTAATTAGTATTGCATGCAGTAACATGGATGAGCTTCAAAAACATTATGCAGTATAAAGAAAGCCAATTGCAAAAGGTAACATATTTTACATACCATTTTTTTAGATGTCCAGAAAAGGAAAATCTACAGAACCAGAAAGTATATTACTGGTTGCTTGAGGTTGGAGCCACTGGTGTGGCTCAAGGGGTTTAGTGTTGGCTTGTGATCCAAAAGGCCACTGGTTCGATTCCCCATCAGGGTATATCCTAGGTTGAAGGCTGGGTCCCCAGTTGGAGGCATGTAAGAGGCAACCAATCTATGTATCTCTTGCATATCGATGTTTTTCTCTGTCTCTTTTTCTCTCCCTTCCCCTCTTTCTAAAAATAAAGAAATAAAATCTAAAAACAACACACCTTTTTAATAAAAGCATTTTTATTTATTTATTTTTGGAGGGAGGGGAAAGGGGGAAGAAAGAGGGAGAGAGAAACATCAATGTGCGGTTGCTCTTGCGTGCCCGTTGTTGGGGACCTGCCTAACAACCCAGGCATGTGCCCTGACTGGAAATCAAACTGGTAACCCTTTGGTTCACAGGCCAGTGGTCCATCCACTGAGCCACACCAGCCAGGGCCACCTTTTTTAAAATCTAAAAATATGTTTATAAATTAAGCTGCACGTATCAGAGTTTCAGGTTAAAAGTGGCTTAAATATGATCATTTATTTTTACATACAAAGTGCAGGACCATGCTGTCTTTGCAGTCATCTGCAGGCATTTTCCAGTTTTCTGCTTCTCTTTAAAACTGCCCCTTCAACTTCATGATACAAGATGGAGTTCAGTTATTCTAACCCCCACATTTCTTTCTTTTAAAACAAATTTTTGTTTTATTCCTTAGAGGAGAGGGAGAAAAACAACAATGTGTGGTTGCCTCTCGTGTACCCACTACTGGGGACCTGGCCTGCAATCCAGGCATGTGCCCTGACTGGGAATCGAACCAGTGACTCTTTGGTTTGCAGGCCAGTGCTCAATCCACTGAGCCACACCAGCCAGGGCCTAACCCCATATTTCAAGCAGTAAAAGAGGCACACTGTCTTTCTTTAAGGACCCTCCTGAAATTGCAGTCATCACTTTTTCTTATATTCCTTTAGCCAGAATTTAGTAAACTGGCATTAATCTAGCTGCAAAGGAAAAAAAACCTTTCCATACAGCCCTGTGCTAGCTAAAAATTGGGAATGCTGTTACTCTAGAGGAGGAGAATGGATATTGGGGGATAGCTAGTATTCTTTTGCCAAAATACTCATGAAATTTTGTATTCTATAAATCTTGAATAATACAGATCACATCTTTTAAATGTTTTGGGGATTTTTGGAGTTGGTAACTATACTATTAAATCAATTAAATTATCAGCAGGGGTCACTGTTGAGCAAGTATTTATTTCTTTTCTCTGTTCAACCTGTCATTTTCCACCCAGATCCTGGATTTAAAGTTTCTGAATCTTGTTTGTTTGCTAAGCATTTTAAATTTATTATGTTAGTAAACAAATCCCCAAAATGTGCCAAAGTAAGATTCAAAAACTGATAAGCTAAATTAATAGGAAAAAATACTATTCAGGAACTTTATTAGATGATGTAATTAAAATTTGTAATGAGTGGTTTAAAAGTTGTGTTTTCAGCTATATAATTATAGAAAAACAATTATAGTATTATGCAAAGCAACAGTAAGTGCTGCCCTGGCTGGTGTGGCTCAGTAGATTGAGCACTGGCCTGAGAACCAAAGGATCACTGGTTCGATTCTCAGTCAGGACACATGCCTGGGTTGCAGGCCAGGTCTCCACTTTGGGGTGCATGAGAGGCAACCACACATTGATGTTTCTCTCCCTTTCTTTCTCCCTCCTTTCCCCTCTAAAATTAAATTAAAAAAAAAAAAGATTCCCTAAGAATGTCACATGTTTGAACAGTCACTTCCTTTACGACGATTATAGCTTAAATACTTCACAGATTTGTTGTAAGTTCATTATAGCCTTAATCTAATGAGTTTTGCCACCCTTTGTATTTTGCATGAGAAACTGAGAGTTTGGATTCAGGTGAAATAGTAAAATCTGTAAAACATACATTTGATTGCTTCTGTGAAACATTTTACAAACAATACCATCAACTGGAGCAGAAACCATTGGGGTTTCCTAGAAAACATCTGAAATTATCATGTATCTACCTCTACAATTGTTTTTTCTTTCTTTCTTTTTTTAGTATTGTTTTCTAATCTCCATTGTTATGACACTTCAAATAATAAAATATTCTGATTATCTGTAAGAACTGTAATTCCTTGGGTTCTGAGATCCTCAATTTACTTTAACTAGTTCATTGGCTCTGAAACTTTTAGGAGGGAGTAGCACCTGGAGGGCTTGTTAAAATACAGATTGTCCCTCTTTCCCTTCACCTCCTCCCCAACCCCATTTGCTGATTCTATAGGTCTGGGGTACAACCCAAGAATCTGCATTTCTAACAAGGTTCCCCTTGAAACTGATGCTCCTGGTCAGGTAACCACAATTTGTGAACCACTGATCTTATCCTTTCTTATAAACTTGGAGTAGGGCACATATATGCAGAAGGATGATAAGGGAAATACAAACCTGGACAGATGTCCTATACATCTGGTGTTTCCCAGACCCTCCCAGGATACGGTGTATTCTTTTCTCCATTCACATACTTGCATATTCCCACAGAGACAACAGCATTCAGTCTGCATAGACTGAAGCAAGGAGAAGATCAGCAGCCATGTATGAGTGTTGTTTCTTTGCATATCTGGAGTTGTAGAAGAGGGATATGATTCTTTTAATAGCTTCCACCAGAGGGTAGGTATTGTTGGGAAGCAGATTATTCTCTCATCAGACTTTTAGGCAGTAGCATTACTTTTATTATAAGATAATAAAATTGTGCTCAATCCACTGAGCCACATCAGCTAGGGCAAATTTTAGCATTTATTTTTTAATATATTATGGTACAAGAAATTTTATGTAACAAATACTAACAAAACACAAGAACAAATACAAGATATTTCAAGTACTACCCAGGTATAACATCCATCTTTATTTTTCCCTCGAAAATTTGGGCAAAAAAAAATGTGCATTATACATGATAAAATACGGTACTTCTACTTTTGGGGGGGATACTTCTACTTTGTGAGTTAGTTTTTTGTTTTGTTTTTTTAAGATTTTATTGTTTTTAGAGAAAGGAGAAGGGAGGGAGGAAAAAAGGGAGGGAGAGAAACATCCATGTGTGGTTGCCAGGGCCCCAAGTGGGGACCTGGTCCACAACCTAGGCATGTGCCCCTGACTGGGAATCGAACCAGTGACCCTTCGGTTCGGCACTCAATCCACTGAGCCGCACCAGCCAGGGCTGTATTTCTACTTTGAATCATGAAATGCCAGGATCTTATATATGACTCCATGCCTTTATACATCTTACTACTTGTCTTTTTCTAGTTACTGTCTGGCCTTCCTCACATCCAGTTTAGATATCAGTTATGATTAGAATTGTTTCATCTTTTGCTCTCACATACTTCTTGTCATTTTTTGCTAATAATAAGATATTTGCCTGTTTCTGTGTTCTTTGTAAAGCAGGAGCTCCTTAAGCACAAAGGTAACGTCGTCTTTTCTTTTTAACTCATTACCTAGAAAAGTGTCTGATATTGACAGGGTATAATGTTCAGTGCTTGAAGTCAGGGCATCTGAATTTTTACTTATGATGTGTATTTGCTGTTTTTACCGTACTTTTGAGGTGGGGTATAGCTATTTGGTTTTTTATGTACCTTATTAGACAAGCTTATAGAGTCATAATCTCCTGTGTGGGAGAAATGGTTTTGATTGATTTGTTAAATGAGCACTTGAGTGCATCAAGAATGCATCTGGTTGTGGTTGTGAAGCATTATTGGTTTGCTGCATGATGTATAAAACTCATAAGAGAATGTTCCCTATCCCAGGTTTCATGGCACCTCCTCAAACAAGTCAATGTGAGTTTTTATTTGGAAAATCACCTTATCTTAATGGCATTTGTATTTTACTTATTTTTAGTTTTTTTTTATTCTTGTAAGAGCTTATTTAAGTCAAACTTGTTACATATGCTAGGAAGCAAGATCTCAAATGCTCCTCAATGGCATTTTTATTTTATTTTAAATTTTATTTCTTGATTTGAGAGAGAGAAAGAAACATTGATATGTCGTTCCACGTATTTATGTATTCTTTGGTTGATTCTCATATGTGTCCTAACCTGCAGCCTTGGCCTATTGGGAAGATGCTCTAACCAACTGAGCTACCTGGCCAGGACTCCTTAATGGTTTCGCTCCCTCAATGGTATTTCAGGAGCCCTGGCCGGGTATGAAAAATGGCATTTTGAAACTGAGCAGTGATGTTGTTTTAAGCAAGTAAATCTTTTGTAATTCAGTGTCCTTATATGTAAAATGAAGATTAGGAATAATATGAAGATTCAATATGTCAATACATGGAAAACACTTTAAACAGTACCCGGCACATAGTGTCATCCTTCTCCCTGCTATTGATTTTCTCTAAAGAGAGAGGACAAATTAAATGTCTCAAAGATGTTTCAGAGCCTAAAGAGTCTCTGAAAACATGACTTTGGCTTATAATACACTGTATACTTACTCACCTCGCTCCTAAGAGGATTACCTGTAAACTCTTGAGTTGAACATAATAGAATATTAAGTAACAACAAAATGTTTTATTTTTGCAGATGTTCTCAAATAGTGATGAAGCTGTAATCAATAAAAAACTTCCCAAAGAACTCCTATTACGGTAAGTCTGAATGCTAATTTTATGTTTCTGTGTGTGTATATATATCATTTGTCTACTTAAAAATTTACAGACTTACTGCTTTTTTTCATATATATATGATCTAGATTATCTGAATTTATAAATTTATTGATTCTTTTTATCAATCTTCTTGTGAATTTTCTAGATATAAATCAAAATTTTGGATGTTTAACTTAGAAACAATTTTCTCCTACCCAGTTTCTAGCTATATATGGTTTTGTTTACTCATTTTCCCTTTGCCCTATCCTTATATAGAATGTGAAAGAGGTAGTATATTTTATTTCATTATAGTACTAATTTTTTTGAAGACTTGATTCTAATTCATCCTTTCCCTCATTTATATTTGCAACAAAATATTACATTATTCTGAGGTGCTGTATAGAATAATAATGACCCTTTATGTTATTTTACTTATTTACTTTTAGAGAGAGGGGAAGGGAAGGAGAGAGAAAGTAAGTAAAATGTTGATGTGTGAGAGAAACATTGATTAGCCATCTTTTACATGGCCCCAAAGAGGGGCCAAGCCCACAAACCAGGCATGTGCCCCAACTGGGAATCAAGCCTGTGACCTTTCGGTTCACAGGCTGGTGCTCAATCCACTGAGCTACACCAGCCAGGGCACAACAACCCTTTATTTTAAAGATAAAAAGGCAAGTTATTTGAAACCCTTCTTTTCCTATAATACACATGGTTCTACCATTCTTTTAAAAAAATTTTATTTATGGATTTGAGAGAGAAGAAAGCCAGCACGACACTTAAACAAAAATCACTGATTTTTAGCCTGGCTGGCATAGCTCAGTGGATTGAGCGCGGGCTGTGAACCAAAGTGTCGCAGGTTCGATTCCCAATCAGGGTACATGCCTGGGTTGCAGGCCATGACCCCCAGCAACCGCACATTGATGTTTCTCTCTCTCTCTCTTTCTCCCTCCCTTCCCTCTCTAAAAAATAAATAAATAAAATCTTTTTAAAAAGTCATTGATTTTTAGAAGGGAGAGGAAACACTGATTTCTTCCACTTACTTATGCATTCATTGGTTGATTCTTGTGTGTGCCCTGACTGTGGATTGAACCCACAACCTTGGCCTATTGGGATGATGCTCTGACCAATTAAGCTACCCAGCCAGGGTACCATTCTTTCTTTTAATGTGTACATTTAGGATCACCTATAATATAAAACACACAGGTCCCGATTTACGTACATCTAACTCAGGAATCACCTAGGGAGAAATAGGCACCAGGGGACTTATTTTTGGAGCTCATTATTTGGGTACTTAATTACAACATTCTTTGTTTACTTACATGGAATATTATGACCAAGAAAGAAAGGATATTCTCTTTTGCATTTATAAGAAGTTAACGAGTTCCTGTGTTCAGAGGCATCTACTTATTGCTCTTACCACTACTGCAGTCTGGCCAGCCCATAACTAGCCTAATGTCTGCTTCAGGGTGGAAAATAATCCCTGCTCTAGTCCTGGTGAAGAAAAATGTTCCTGGCATTCTTTAGTACTTGTATGTCTGAGTCTTCCACTGTATTGCAAGGTCCTGATAAGCAGGGACTATATCCTGTAAATCTTTATGCAGAAACTGACATATGGGAGATGCTAAGAAAAAAAACAACTTAATTAGATTGGGAGTGGATTTTTTTTCATGGAAGCAATGCATATGTACATGCTGATTGAGTAGTTTAAATAATAGTTAACCCCTTGACTATCCAGGGCCATTGGAGAATGTATCCTGAATATATTGTGTGACATCTTGAGTATCCCTCAAATTTCAGCAAAATTTAGCTATTTTAAAGAGAAATATTTTTAAGTAGGTTATGTTCTTCACGGTTATTATATGCTGAGTATACTAAGACATACTTTAGGGTTTTAAAATAATTTTTTATTGATTATTTTTTACAGAGAGTGGAAAGGAGAAAGAAACATTGATTTTTTCCACTTATTTATGCATTCATTGGTTGATTCTTGTATTTTTTCTTTTTAATTATATTTTATTGATTATGCTATTACAGTTGTCCCCCTAATTTTTTCCCCTTTGCCTCCCTTCACCCAGCACCCCCCACTCCTGCAGGCAATCCCCACACCATTGTTCATGTTGATGGATCATGCTTTGTAGGTTCTTTGGCTACTCCATTTCCTATACCATGGTCTACATCCCCAGGGCTGTTCTGGAACTACCTATTTATACTTCTAAATCCCCTCACCTACTTTCCTATATCCCCCTCCCATTTGACAACTATCAAAATGCTCTGTGTATTCTGTCTCTGTTCTTCTTGTTTGCTTAGTATGTTTTTTAGATTCAATTATTGAGAGGTATGTATTTTGCCATTTTATTGTTCATAGCTGATCTTTTTCTTAAATAAGTCCCTTTAACATTCTGTGTATAATTGGTGTGGTGATGATGAACTCATCATCACGTTAGTTTTTTCGCCTGGGAAGATCTTTATCTGCCCTTCAATTCCAAATGATTTCTGCTGGATAGAGTAATTTTGGCTGTAGGTCCCTGCTTTTCATTACTTGGAATATTTCTTGCCAGTTGCTTCTAGCCTACAAAATTTCTTTTGAGAAATCAGCTGACAGTTTTGTGGGAATTCCCTTGTAGGTAACTAACTTCATTTCTCTTGGTGCTTTTAAGATTGTCTCTTTATCTTTAACCTTTGGCATTTTAATTATGATGTATCTTGGAGTGGGCCTCTTTGTGTCCATCATGTTTGGGACTCTCTGTGCTTCCCAGACTTACATGTCTATTTCCTTCAAATAATTAGGGAAGTTTTCTTTCATTATTTTTTCCAATAGATTTCCAATTTCTTGCTCTTTCTCCTCCTTCTGGCACCCCTGTGATATGAATACTGGATTGCTTGAATTTGTCCTGGTGCTGTAGCTCAGAGGGAGTGAGACTAAGAAGCTGTTTATACTATCCTCAGTGTGTTGGTTTTTTTTTTTTTTTTTTGCAGGGGAGGGTAGATTCTTTTTCTTCTTCTGATTGGTTGTGGGGTTTTTGTGGGGGCGGGGGTTTGTTCTTTTTTTTTGTTTGTTTGTTTTGTTTTGTTTTTTTTTGCTTCCTTGTGTTCCAAATCATTGATTTGAATCTTAGCTTCATTCACTTTACTGTTGTTTCTCTGTAAATTATTCTTTAATTAGTGTATCCTTCATTTCTCACTGGATCTTTTTTATGCTGCTGAGGTCTTCACTAAGTTCTTTGATCATCCTTAAAACCAGTGTTTTGAGCTCTGCATCTTGATAGATTGCTTACCTCCGTTTTGTTTCGTTCTTTTTCTAGAGCTTTGATCTGTTCTTTCATTTGGGCCTTGTTTCTTTATCTCCTCATTTTGGCAGTCTCCCTGTGTTTGTTTCTGTGTATTAGGTAGAGCTGCTGTGACTCCCTGTCTTGGTAGTGTGGCCTAATGTAGTAGATGTCCTGTAGGGTCCAGTGGTACAACCTCCCATATCACCCAAGCTGGGAACTCAAGGTGTGCCCTTTGTGTGGGTTGAATACCCTCTCCTCTTGTAGTTGAGTCTTGGTTGCTGTTGGCAGGTCAATGGGAGGGATTTACCTAGGCCAGTCAGCTGCAAGGACTGTGTGTGACCACTGACCACAACCGTCTGCCCTCCATGGAGAGTCAGCTGTGCAGGGGCAGGGTGGTGGTGCTCTGACATGGTCTGTAGCTGTCCACTGGGTAGGCAGGCCCTGGGTTTTCCTGGGGTGGTGTAGGCCAAGGTCAGCCCCCACCTATGTTTTGCCTGGGACCACCCAGCCTGAGCTATAAAGCAATCTGAGAAGGCTGCTAATTGTGCTGGGCTTGGAGATTCCCAGGTGAAGCTAAGCTGTGAATTTAGACTGGCTGCTGCTAGTGCCAGGCCTGGGGCCACTTAGCAAGAGGTTTAGGGGCTAAGGGCTCACTGAGGCTGGCTGTTGCTTTATTAATAGGATTTTAGGAAGTTCTGAAGCATGAGCCAAGACCTGCCACTCATATGGAAAAGCAGCTTGAGTGGGCCCATGAGTTGGGTGGGAGGGTGTCTCTGGGGATCTCTAGGGCAGGGCACACTGTGTTAGCCAGGTTGATGGAGACTCAGATACGGCATCAGCCTGCTAGCTTTGTGGGAAGAGGGTTCAGAAAAGGGACATCGGCGTCTGTCTGCTTTTCTGCCTGGGAAAAAGCTGTTCCCCAGCTCTCGCTGGGTCAGACACTTCAGACCCACTGTATGCCACTGGTACCTTTCAAGCTGCTACCCCAGTACTGGAGCTCAGATGGAGTGAGTCTGATTAAGTCTGTGTGTGTGGGTTCTTTAAGAGGAACTGCTTGAGGCTCTAGCAAGTTTCTTCCACTAATTCAATCCCCTCTGGTTTTTGCAGCCAGAAGTTACGGGGACTTACCTTCCTGGCACTGGAACCCTGAGCTGGGGGCCTGGTGTGGGACTGGGACTCCTCATTCCCAAGATGCCCTTCCTGAATTTTTATCCACTACATATGGATATGGGGCCATCCCATTCCGTTTCTCTGCCCCTCCTACAAGTCTGGATGGATGTGGTTACTTTAATTCTGTAGTTGTCAGACTCCATTCAACTTGATTTCTGATGATTCTGAGTGGTGGTGGTTCTATATTTTAGCTGTAATCTTGATGTGGTGTGGGGAGGCGAGCCGTATGTGTTTATGCCACCATCCTGACCGGAAGTTCCCCCAATTCTTACATGTTTTTTGAGTGGGGATGCAACATGCAACTTTGGCATTTGAGGATGATGCTCTAAATATTTGAGGTATCCAGCCAGGGCACTTCAGTTTTTTTTAATAATTGCCGTTAGTTTTGAATACTTAGCATAATTTTGTACTGCTGTAGTTTACCTTACAACTCACTAAGATTTAGGGAAATTATTTGACTCTTCGGTAACTGGCCACACTACGTTATGGTTTATGTTTTTCTGTTTTTGCCATGAAACTCAAACTCTTTACTGTGTCCTACAAGACCCCTCATGATCTGGCAGG